TGTGTTTGTGTTTGTGTGTGGTGTGTGTGTGTGGGGGGGGTTAGTATAAAAAGTGGTTTTAAAAAAAACCTTGTGCTTCATAGGCATGAGTTAGGCAACTGCTCCCAAGTCTTCTGCTCCACAACACTTACCATTTTTGGATATATACTTTAAAAAAAAAACACATTTACTGTATGTACTTATTTCTAAACCAATAACAAAAGTTATCAAAAGAAAGGCCAGGGAGTGTTCTGTTTTAGGAGGAAGATAATATCCACGCCCCCATCACAAGAGCCCCCCCATGTACTTCTTGCTTTGCGATTTACCGTAAAATGCAGACAAAGGAGAAGGAGGAGGTTAAACACTGGGCCTTGAAGGAGAATTCCCATTTATTTCCGTTTTTGTGGCAAGCTGGCTTTTTGACAGGAAGCTGGATTTTTCAGATTTATCTGTTTACCCACCTACACCCATCACCCACATCATCAGAAAATACAATCGTGAGCAAGACTTGGAGGCAGCAGGACAAAATTCTGCTCATTTTTCTTAAACTGAACATCAGACTACCGGTAAATCTCTTAAAATACAGCCTCCTTTTTCTTTTGCAACAGACGGGCTTTTGTTCCTCGATTTCTGATGTACAGAACGATCGTTTATCAGACTAAATTCACAGTGATTTCTGCTTCTAAGCCAGAGGTCATCTCATAAATGGGTGTGTTCCAACTTTCTCTCTCTTTCCCCTTCCAAACACACCAGCAGTTTGGGGATTCCTCTAAACAGGACAGTCATGAATAACCTCTTCCTCCCAGGAGTCGGGCGAGGATCAGACCGAATGTGAAAATTAACTGGTGCGTCTTTACAGCTGCAAGCTTGCTGTTAGTGCCAGGAGGGTTAATGCTGAAAGCAAAGAGGAGGTGATGCTTCGTTTAGCCCTAGACCAAGACTGCAAAGGGTCCTGATGAAAGCAGGCTGCTCAGGTCTGGAGATGGCGACAGAAGAGGTTAGTGAGGGGCTGCAGTAGTTTTTTTTTTAATTCCCTCCTTGCTCTCCAGAATACCTTTATCAATGCTGAGATCTGGAATCTGCAGAACGGCATCCGATGCCCAATGGGAGGCGTTCCCATGCCTTCTTCCTAAGGGTTTCTTGGACTGTTCAGGTTTAGATGCCTTATGCCTTTTGGGCGAGGGTTGGGTAGGGGATTTATGAGGGAGGGCAAGCAAAGCTAGAAAGCTAAACCCCCTGGGATTGTTGAGATTGTTTTTGTTTTCTAAAAAGAATAACATTTTAGAGGAGGGGGAAGAAGACAAAACAAAAAGAAAACACACACTTGTTAAAACAAACCGTTGTCATGCACAAATTAGAACTTAATCGTTCCTTTTCCCATAATGGTGTGGTTTCAGCTCCGGCCACATCTCTTTTTGCAACATGGGCCAGCGCTTATGCCTTTTGGGCGAGGGTTGGGTAGGGGATTTATGAGGGAGGGCAAGCAAAGCTAGAAAGCTAAACCCCCTGGGATAGTTGAGGTTGTTTTTGTTTTCTAAAAAGAGTAACATTTTAGAGGAGGGGGAAGAAGACAAAACAAAAAGAAAACACACACTTGTTAAAAGCAAACCGTTGTCATGCACAAATTAGAACTTAATCGTTCCTTTTCCCATAATGGTGTGGTTTCAGCTCCGGCCACATCTTTTTTTTGCAACATGGGCCTGCGCTTTTTAAACTGGAACCCCAATGCATTTGGAGAAACCGGTGCGCAACTCTGCAGACGGATGCCTCCAACTGCTCGGACAGGGAACAGCTCCGATGTCTTACCGAGACACCCAAGGACAAAAAGCTGATGCAGAGTGCAGCCAGACCATTTGAACTACAAATGAAGGAGAAGACTGCTCCTGATTGGAACTCTGAAGGCATAACCATGTGTGTTAAAATTAGTTAAATGTATTAATGGACTAAAACAGTCCATGTAGTTTCCTTATACCTTGTGGCATAACTAAGCCCAATGTAGGATGAGTAATAGCTATTTTCTATAAGGAGTAAAGACACAGAGACATTCCTGCCTCTTCACTGATATGGAGAAAGCCTCATGAAACAATTAACACAGACAGACGATCCTGTAGATAAACAGGCCACCGGACACCAGATAAACTCTATCATGTTGGGTGGAGAGGAGAAGGGCCAAATGTGAGACAGATGACTTGAAAGGAACCTAGCTTAATTGACTTATTTATGACACTTTGTGCATCCATCTATGAAAGCTACGAATTATGGAATTTGGACTTCTACATTGATCCCATCCATAGGTGTGCATGTACGGGTTTCCCTGCTAGCCTTCCTAAATGCTTTCCTTCCCTCTCCCATCTTCATACACCTGCTGGCACGTTTCTAAGGTCCTGACACCAGCACGTTCCTAGATTCAGATCTCGTCCACGCCATGAACTCGCTGGCCTGCCCTGGGGGAGCCACTAACTCTCCATCCAGCAAGATGGGAAAACAAAGGCATTTAAGAATCGGAAAAGGGTTAGCCTTCGAGGCTAATTGCTTCTAGAATTCCGAGCGAACTTCCTAGCTAGGGAATTCTTAGCTCTAGAGTCTAAAAAAAGGGACCTCTCTAAGCTCTGATGACAGCGATCCACCTCACCGGGTTGTTATAAAGATAAGTAGCAGATAACACATGGGGAACACTGCAAACACAGGTAAGTTCCATATCGTGCAATGTGTGACAGAGGTCTTCAAGAGCAATCAAATGTTAAGAGCTAGAAAGCTTTGGTGGCCACCCTTTTCCCACCAGGTGTCCGCTTCTTCTTTCAGGCAGCCATCGTTCTCTCAGGACCAGCGGACAGCTTCCAAATCCTGGTGAGGGACAGGACCACCAAAAAAAATAGCAATCAAGCACGCCAGATGCTTGAAGGGGGAAGGAAGGCTAAGAGGTTAGGGCTTGTGGAAGAGGGGAGGCACACTTACTGTTGGCTATGTTGGAAGCCGTGTAACTGTCTGCCATTCCTGAGACCTGGCTGGCAATGCTGGCTTCACTGGCTCTCCGGAAGCCCCTGACCTGGGGGGCTGAAATGGGAGCAGAAGGGGAGGTGCTTTCCACGAAGACGCCACCATGAGACTGAACAACATCCGCTACGGAGACGAAACAGGGAAATCGAGAAGATTAAACCAGACAGACAAGAGAGCGCGGTGGGTGAGACAAAACACAAGAGAAAAATCAAATCCAAATCCACACACCTACAGATTAGATACACACACACACATACATGCACAAGGCAGAAAACCACCGCGGGGACACCTCGGAGTGTTGATGGGGAGGAGTAAGCATTTTGGCAGCGATCAGAAAAATTAAAACACGCACCAGCAGAAGCACCAAAGCCAACAGGCCAGCAGTTCTATGGCCATTTTCCAAGAAGCAAACTGTTTGGAAGGAAACAAAAATACCAGTAACCCCGTCTTGTCCATTTCCAATGAGCCCAGCTTGCTAAAGCAACGGTTTGCATTTTGGGGGACCTCTAAGTGTTCCTCAAACGGGGTTCTTTAGTGAGAAGATCAATAACACCTGATAAGCATCCGAGGGAGACACGGTCTTCAGATTTACTACTCTGTTTGCAAAACCACGGCTGCAAGAAAGCTAGGTGAATATTTTCATTTCGCCCAGAACGTTGAGAGGGCTCACGTAAGCAAGCCATACGAACTGAGAGATCACCCCTGAAACATCTCCCAAAAATCTTTTGCAACGCAACGGGGTTCCTCGCTAGATACGGAAAAATTTCCCTGGATATCAAACCTCTGAAAACCACTGCCGGAGGGAAAACAAACAAACAAAAAACTACTACCAGCAGCTCTTTATTCCCTCCAAGGAAACCACAATTAAACTAAACACTGACTAGAATCCATGTGACAACTTTGCACATTTTGAAGGGGTGTGTTTGAATTTGGTGATAGGTAGAGAGGTAAATATTTCCCAGATGTGAATGTCTCTTTACCTATTTGGGCATTTAAATCTAAGGACTCAGGGTTAAATACACACCCGCTACAGGAGGCTGATCAAAGACCGGAGACCACTGCTACTGTAGGGGGAAGAGTTCCTGGAACCCCATGGTCATGGCCATGGCTGAATTCCTGGCTCTCCAAGAGTTCCCCTCCTCTGATGTGTCACGTTCTTATCTGCAGCTTGCTTTGATCTGCCGAGTTCCTGCAGCCGTAACATGCTGCCTCTGAGCTACAGCACAGCCTCTTTCACGGAGTCCTGCTGCGATGCAAGGTCTTGTTCGCACCGTGAAGCTCTTCCGTAAGAGAAGAATCTCAGATGAAAGCTGCTGAGCCACAAGAAAGCCTACGGCGGCTCCGACCTGTGAGCGCAGGCTTGATCAGCGTGGACAAAGTGCATCTTGTACGCTACCGGTGCGTCCTCCGGGCCTGAAGGTGCCTCTTCCACACACCCCTGGAACCTCCAGCATGCCCCACGACCTCCCTAAATGTTTATTTTTAAGGTTTCGAGAGGTCCTTGAAAGGAGGCAAACGTCACTGTAATTTCAGCCCCTCCGAGCTACCTCTGATCAGAGGGGTTTTTGGCCTGAAAATCCCTTTGAAGTCGGCAGCAGCGTATTGATTAATTAAAGAGAAAAAGCAGATTGCTCCCTTCAGCCACTAGAGGGCATGAGGAGCTTCTCCTGGTTTTAAAGAAAAATATTGAGGAAAGTAAGCAGCAGGGACAAGCCTTCTGAGGTCCAGGCTTCACCACCCCTCGGTGGCACCCTCACTTCCTCAGGCTGTCCATTCTTGGGTCCAGACCAGTGGCAAGTGAGGGTGTGGGCCAGCAGGAAAGGAAACAAAGAAGGAGTTGCAGAACTGATGCTCTTCCTAATTCTCTGCGGCTCCTTGCACACTCAGAAGTGTTGCCAAGTTATTATGAGATGTGTGCTGTGCTCAGTGTTGCCTTGTCAGCAGGCCACCCAAGGTGGTGGTGGGTGTTACATACAGCACTGACGTCAGCAGGCCACCCAAGGTGGTGGTGGGCAGGTTCGGAGTGCCGTGATGTCGAAGTGTGCATCATCTTTTAACTTTTTTTTTTTTAAAGTTTGTAAACCAGTATACTAACCCTTCATTTAAAAAAAAAGGAAGGCAGGGCGGCTTACAAGTAAAAGAGACACTAAAACCATATTGTAAAAATCTATAAAACAAGAGCCATCAGTAAGTAGGCAAGAAGACCACAGGGGTTAAATTCACATCAGATATTAAAATGAAGTGGCGTTCCAGGGAGAGGCCGATCCATCCTGCATCCCCCAGAACTTCCAAGCCGGAGGTCTGTGCCTGGCGACTCCTGCCCTCCAAAGCCCTGCTCTGTGCAATTCAAGGGTAAGGAGGGTGGAGGAGTGGGTGCCCTGCCGTGACTTTCATAAATCAACCCGAATCTTGCCGTGTTTTTCCAGCGCAAGATCTGAAAAGAAGGTCAGCCATGCAGAGCAGCAGCAGAAGCAACAACCGGGGGAAAAAAAAAAGAACTCAATTTCGAAGCAGAAAGCCACGACCGGAAAAAGAAAGGAACCCTGAAAGCTTTCCCTTATAAACGATTCACGTCGTTTGTCAGTAGAGTCTAAAAATCAAATATTTTCCGTATTTGGATCCATGACATGAGCCGTCCTCTGTGACGGCCGC